TGGGATTTAAAAACTGATGGTGGGGAGGACGAGAAGGAGGTATAGAGGAAGGGAGTTCCAGAGGTTAAGGTTTAAAGTTCAATACAATAATACGAATTTTATGTAGCATCTTTCATGTTGGGAGGATATCTCAAACCGCTTAACGGCACCTTAGCTGGCTGGCGATGGTGGGAACCAAGAGAGGTGATAAATGCAGGGATGAGGATCTCGACAGCCTGAGGGAAAGTTAGGGGCAGCGGCTGGCAATGTTTTGTAGGTGGGGAAAGATAAGCGGATATGTAGTTTAAAGGACAATTAGGAATCAAACAAGACATGGAGGTGCACAGGCTCCACAAGGTGGAGTGAGTATCCATGCAGGTTGATGCCACCAGTGTTTGAGGTGAGAAAGCACTGTCCACATTTAAAAGTAGGATTTGCAAGATTAAAAGAAAAGGAAATCAGAACACAATAAAATGGTCGTGGAACGTGCCATGTTCAGAGTGTATTGTAGTTCTTATTCATTTTATTGTAAAATATTTACAATGAGAATTGTACAGTACACTTTTTGCAAAATAGTTACAAAAAAGATACTGCACAAAATGATTGTAATGTACAAACCGCCAATAGATTCTATACACCAGGATTTGAAACATTCATCAGACCTTGGATTTTAGGAGAATGTAAAATTACATTAAAAAATGAGGCTGTGCAGGTGGTACCAATGCATGTGTAATCAATGTCAGTTTCATTGGGCTAAATTGGGTAAAAAAATAATATTTTGGGTAAGTCCTGAAAGAAGGTCCACCCTTTCTCATTGTATACAAGTGCCTTGGGATATCCTCCACAAGTGAAAGGCACTCTATAAAAGTAAATTTGGATTGGATTGTAACCCCCCCCATCCCGCCCCCACTCCTACCCTACTACAGAAGGTGTGTGGCCCAAACCAACAGAAAGAGAATATTGGGGAAGAAATTAGAGGGAAAAATATGCTGAAAAGAAAAAAAAAAGGCCTATACAGACAACACCTTCTATGGGGAGAATTAATATTTCTTAAACAGTTGAAGTTGCAGTTCTGCCTCTGGTCTTTCACAGAATAATGGGTATTATATGAGTAAATATTAACTCCCAGAAGCAGATTTGACAAGTTATATTCACCAATGCACATGTGATGCGTTTTAAGGTCCATCAGACTCTCACTGAATTCCTGACAGATGTAATATACATGGTATTAATGTGCATGACACGAAACAGAAGACGGATTTAAGTGATTGGTGGACAGATTGCTAAAATCATTATCGCTGTGCGCATCAGCAGTAAAGAGAGCAAATATCTCAGACTGGGTATTATAGTGAAAGGGATAGAGCAAAAGATAGAAGTAATACTGAACTTTCCCAAGCACTGGTCCTCCCCCACCTAAGTACTGTATACAATTATGGTTTGCCACATTACTGTAAGATGTAAGACATTGCTACATTGGAGAAGGTAGAGCAAAAAACAACTAGATTGATAGCTGGAATTAGGCAAGTGAGGTACAAGAAGAGGCGACTGGGAATGCTTACACTGGATAAGAAGGATCAAAAGTGATCTTATTTTAGCATTCGAGAATCTAAAGCACATAGAGAAACAGTACATTAGAATGTCTAACAGAGTCACAATTCTACAATGAACCATAAAGTTGAGCTCAGAAGAGGGAAAGTGAATAGATAACTCAGAACTACTACTTTACACAGACTGGTGAACACTGAGAATGGACTAGACAGGGAAGCAGTGGAGACAGATTGTGGTAAATTCAAGAGGAAATTAGCTGGTTGGCAAATCGATTGATGGGCATAAGAGATGAATAGCAGCCAGATGGGCCGCAATGGTCTTACAGTGCTATACTTTCCCAGATTGCTAATAAGAATGTATTGCCAGTAAGCAGGTCCAGTTATCTTTTTTGAGTGACAACATTTTTTTGTGCAATCAAAAGTGAAAATGATCAAAACCATTTGCAGTGAGAAATTTGTCTTTGGCATCTTGACGTAAAAACCATATTACTGAGGTAAATCACAATACCTTAAATCTTCTCCCAAAAAGTAGAGACTGTGTTTTGCATACATGCACGTTTTAAAATTATACACGAGTGAAGAGAATACTGATATTGACACTACTTTTGTGAAAATATTGGAATGACTGAAGCTACATATGATGTAGGCATCCTGCAGCTGCCAGATAATTTACATTTCCCATTCAGGAACTCTCAATAACAGAGACTCAGTCTAAAATGTGTTGCTAATACAGCCAATCTTTTGATTGAAAAGCAAATGTTCAATGCATGCTCAACCTTGCCTGTCCAAAACACAGATGAAATGTCAAAAAATCATCACTTTTTTTTAAGGTAAGTATTTTTTTCCACATTTACTTTTACTTGTCGAAAAGGTTACAATTTATTTAGTGAAGAATGGATAGTCTGTCTTAAATTGGTGACCTTGCCCACAACACACATCAATTACAGAGTATTAAACAATGGTCTGCAACAATTATCTTTTTGCTTGAACAGTGAAAGCAAAGGCAGTACAACAACAACAAAATTACATTTATAGAGCTCCTTTCACATCGGGAAGACGTCCCAAATCGCTGAACAGTCGGGTTGAGACCCAAGCATGAGGGAGGGGTGGGGTGGGGATGAGGGAAGGCAGAGAGGTGGGAGGGCAACCGAAGGCAGGATCGAAGAGAAAAATCTTGAAGGAGGCAAGGGAGGAAGTGAGGTGAACAGACTATGGGATGGACTTCTAGAGGGTGGGGGCAGAGAGGCTGAAAGTGGGGGTTGGGTGGGAGACATGGAGCAGACCGGAACCCACTGGACGGAGTGAGTAGGCAGGTTGGTAGGGAGTCAGTGGGTCAGAGAGGTAGGAGGGGGCAAGGACATGGAAAGCCTTGAATGTGAGGACGAGGATCTTGAACTCGATCCTCTGGGGGATGGGGAGCTAGTGGAGTTGGGCGAGGGTGGGAGTGATGGGGTCACGGAGCCTGGTGTGTGAGAGTACACAAGCTGCAGAATTTTGGATGATCTGCAGGTTGTGAAGGGAAGAGTTGGGAAGGCCGATGAGGAGGGAGTTCCCATAATCAGCCTTGATGTGACGAATGTGTGGGTGAGGGTTTCGGCAGCTTGAGGGGTGAGGCAGTGTCGGAGTCTGGCAATGTTGCGGAGGTGGTGGTAGGCAGTGCTGGTCATGGGCGCGGATGTGGGGGAGAAAGGACAGTTCTGGGTCAAACAAGACACCCAAGTTCCTGACTGGCTTAGTGGGGTTGAGTGTGCAGCCGTGGAGGCTGATGCTGCCGGAGCCCAAGGTGCGGAGGCACTGGCGCGAGCTAATCAGGAGGGCCTCGGTCTTGCTGACATTGAATTGGAGAAAGTTGTCCCTCGTCCAGGACGTGATGTCAGACAGGCAGTCGGTCAGGACGCCAGTAGTCCTGGAGTTGAGGGTGGAGGCAGAGAGATAGAAATCCGCTGAAACCCTGGTCTACGTCTTTGTCACCTCTAGGATGGACTATTCAAATGCTCTCCTCGCCTGTCTCCCCTCCACTACCATTCATAAAATCCAGGTCATCCAAAACTCTGCCACCTCTCATTCTTACCCGCACCAAACTCCGCTCCCCGATTACTCCAATCCTTGCCAGATTGCACTGGCTGCCTGTCCCAGAGAGGATCGACTTCAAGATCCTCTTGTCTTCAAATCCTCCACTCCTCTGCACCCCCCCTACCTCTCTGACCTCCTCTAACTGCACAACAGTGCCCGTTGCCTTCGCTCCACTAGATCTGGCCTCCTCTTTGTCCCCGAATCCTCTGCTCCACCCTCGGTGGTCGTGCCTTCAGCCACTACGCCCCGAGACTCTGGAACTCCCTTCCTCACTCTCTTCCCCTCGCCCCCTCTCTTCCGATTTTCAGGTCTCGGCTGAAGATCTTTCTTTTTGACCGCGCCTTTGGTCACCTTCCTCCCCCTGGCCCGGCCCTGGGATCCTTTACTGTGAAGCGCTCTGAGACACCGTCCGGCATGGAGGGCGCTATATAAATCCAAGTTGTTGTTGTAGAGTTGGGTGTCATCCGCATACATGTGGAAATTTACCCCATGTCTGCACATGATATCACCAAGGGGGAGCATGTAGAGAGTGAACAGGAGGGGACCAAGGACAGAGTCCTGAGAAACACTGCACAAGACGGTACGGGGGTTGGAGGAGAAGCCATTTGCTGCAACTAAGTGGAGACGGTGTGAAAGATAGGACCTGAACCAGTCAAGGACAGAATCTTGAAGGTTGAGGTGGGAGGAGAGGTGGTGGAGGAGGATTGAATGGTCCGCAGTGTCAAAGGCGGCGGAGAGATCGAGGAGTACGAGGAGACAGAGGGAGCCCTGGTCACACATGGTCAGAATGTCGTTTGTATCCTTGATCAGAGCAAATTCCGTGCTGTGGGCTGCACGGAAACCCGAATGGAGGGGCTCATGGAGGGAGTGGGAGGAAAGGAAAGAGCGGAGCTGGGAGGAAACAGCTCTCTCAAGGACCTTTGGACAGGAAAGGGAGGTTTGAGATGGTAGCTGAATAGCTGCGATGGGTCAAGGGAAGGTTTCTTCAAGGTGGGGGTGATAGTGGCTGTTTTGAGGGGGAGTAGGAACAGTGCCAGATGACAGGGAGAGGTTGATGTCAGCGAGTAGTGGGGCAAGGAGGTGTAGCTGGGATTTAAGGAGAGGGGTAGGGATGGGGACCAGGGAGCAGGTGGTGGGCTTCATGGAGAACATGGTGGTGATGATAAAGAGGGTGACAGCTTCAAAGGGTGGAAGGAGGGATGGATGGTTGTCGGAGTGTGGGGTGGGGGTAAGGAGGGGGTGGAAGTTGGGAGGGCAGTGGCAGCTGAGTGGATTCCCTCGATTGTAGACTTGAAGAAGTCCAGCATTTTCTCGCAGTGGGGGTCGGAGGAAAGAATCTGCGAGCCGTGTCGGGGAGGGCGGAGGAGCCGGTTGGTGGACATAGAACACAGTACTCTTTACTAATGTTTTAAAGCTCTTCAGGCCGCTTCCCTGCGTGAAGGGCGCTTTATAAATGCACATTGTTGTAAATCACAAGGTTATTCAAAGTACTCAAATAAATGAAGAAATTTAACAAAAAACTTTAAAACCGTGCTTTTTTTAAAAAAGTTATTTATCCACAATCGATTCCAAAATTAATCTGATCTACCTTCTCCCTTGAATTTAATGTATGAGCTGTAGTGTGAAGTGCAGGCAAATATCCAGCTCCTGATACAGCAATACTTACAGTAATCACATAATAAAACTTTTACTGGATATTACATACAGGATTTAGTATTCTTCTCAACGTCAGTGTCGTCCAGATTGATTCCTTCAGGATATTTAAATTCAATAACTTTAATACATAGATTATTAGATATTGCAATAAATAACCAGTACATATTACAGTACCAGACACAGGAAAATACATTTGTTTTCCAATATAGCTTCTTATTTTATAATAGTTCAAAATGGGAACCCAAGCTACCTAATGGTTTACTATTTGCCATTCATAAATCCATAATTCATTGTAAGGTTTTTAGTTTCAATAAGTATCACTGAAACGTACTGAGTTTTCTACTTCAGAAATTAAAATATTAAGTTTATTTGTTTTTGTCTTACATAAGATGAGTGATATCAACGCTGAGGAATGGACATTTATACTTTTGGGCCCCCAATGTCAAAGTTTACTTTACCTCTAGCCATGTTCTACATGACGTGATGTCAACCATGACAACATCATGTACAACATGGCAAGATGTAAAGTAAAATCTCCTCTATTCTAATCCCAACAATGCGTCGTAACTCACAGCCTCAGAAGAGCACTACACAGAATCCATACGATTTTCTACACATTCAACCTCTCTGCATGAGATCAACAATTTACTGACAATTCTGTCAAACAATAGGCAGTTTTGAGCCATGGACTAGAACTCACTATGAATTGGAGGTGGATTGTTCAAACTGTAGGGTTGTTTCTTCTTATAGGTAGGGAATAGTTTCATTCCATCATTCTGGGCTAGGTTCCAACCAGCTTCTAAACCCACTCCATATCTCAGCCCACCTCAAATATTAAAGCTGACATTTATAATACAATATAGTTTAATAATGAACAACTGTATGATAAATTGCAGGACATATTGGATCCAAGTATAAATATCCAGTGATTAAAGATGAAATCCTTATATTTGCAACTTTCCAACAAGGCCCTGAAATCTTCCCAATTCTCTTTTATATGATCTGCACATGTTTAACTTCCAATACTTGCTGCCTCAGGTAGATAGATGGTAGACATATCTAAGCTTAAGACTTGCCAATGTCAACACCACCCATAAAGGTTGGCACTATGTGATTAGGACTGATTCTGTTAGGTTTGGTTGGTCCTCTCATCTTTTCTATTAAGATGCAGTATTCTCTTGTCGCATAAATCTCTATTTGGGAATTGCTGGCACTTCATTATTAATTATAATGAATTCACAATTAAGAAGTTGATCTTGAAAATCAGTTCAAATTGGCACTCAAGGTTATAACCCTCTGGGGTTGCGTTACTTCTTTAAATTAATCCCACCCAAAGAGAATAATGGTTACTTGAGTTGTCAAAGGATACAAGGAGAAATTTTATTTTGAAAGATTAAATACAGTATCAATATTCAGGTAAAACTTCCCCTTAGATGATTAAATTAAAACCGCAGAAACAATCACTGAGTAAACTGAGTAAAGTGCACATGGTTGGGGAAGGAGTGAGCCTGGTGGCTGGAAAGGCCTTTTCTCATTCTACCTGTCTTACTTTTATGATAGAGTTAGCTTGATGGTACAATAGTGCCATCAGAAACTGGCCTTGAAAGTCAAAGACCATGCACATCAGCATGGCACCTCTACATCTCTGAATACAGTTTATGAAAGATGCTAAATTGACTTTAGCCTAAAGTGCTGATGAACAAGTACAAATAATCTGTGTACTTCAGTTCTTACCCGTAAAATTGAAGTGGTTTGGAAAATGTTTTATGGATTTACAATTCAATGTGCAAAAATTCTGAACAGCTATTTCTTTCTCCTATCTCCTGCATTCCAGTACTCTTCCGATTGCATTTCTGTGAGTCTTGAGACTGTGCGATGAAATGCAAAGATTTCTTCTGCTCCAGAAAAAATTGAGAGGTCTTCTGGTTTGGTCTGTGGTAAAAAAAACACACAAGCGGTGAAAATCTTGCCTGGAAATAAATTTAAAATCCACTTACTACCATGTGATGACACTTTTATATGTTTCATCATGCAGTCAAGCGATGGAGTCACCATTCACATTTAACAGCAGAGTTAGAATTGTAACACTACTGGCTTAATCAATACAATACAAATTTACATTTATATAGCGCCTTTCATATTGGAAGGATGTCCCAAGGCCCTGAACGGTCCAGAGTTTACACCCGAGCTGGGGGTGGGGGCCAAGGGGGGGATGAAGTCGGGAAGAAGATGGGCAAAACTGCAGTCATAGAGGAAGGTCTTGAGGCGGACCTTGAAGGAAATGAGCCAAAGGGACTCCAGGATGGCATTCCAGAAAGTGGGAGCAGATTGGCTGAAAACCTGACTTCCGATGGTGAAGATGGGGTGAGGGACATGTGGGGCATGAATAATAATAATAATAATCCTTGCATTTGATATAGCGCTTTTCACGTCGGGAGGACGTCCCAAAGCGCTTCACAGAACACACTGTAAAGTGAATTGACTGTATATTTGTGGGCGAACGCGGCAGCCAATTGCGCACAGCAATGTCCCACAAACAGTCGTAGATTGAAAATGACCAATTTATTATTGTTTTTTTGGAGGGATTATTATTAGGTGTGTGGAGTAAGGAAACTTGCCCAAGGTTTCGCCCTCTGCCTGGAATTGAACTCGGATCTCTCGCTTGCAAAGCGAGTGCTCTAACCACTGAGCTACAGGACTCCACAAAGCAGGTTGGTGCCTGTTGAGCTGAGGGAGTGTCGAGTTTGTATAGTTTGAGGTGTCAGAGGTAGGGTTGAACAAGATCATGGAGAGATTTAAAGATTATGACAAGGATCTTGAACTTGCATTTGCTCGAGGATGAGGAGCCAGTGGAGCTGGACATGGATGGGGGTGATATGCACATGAAGTCTTGTGCAGGAAATGATACGAGCTGCAGAGTTCTGTATAATCTGCAGCTTGTGAAGCAAGGAGGTGGTAGTCCAACTGGCAGAAGATTGGCACAATTTTGTCTGGACATGATAAAAGCATGGATAAGGGTTTCAACAACCCAAGGGGAGAGGTAGTGCAGAGACTGGTTATGTTATGGAGTTGGAGAACACTGAGCGGATCAGAGCACAAATGTGCAGTTTAAAGGACACTTGAGAGTTAAACAAAATGGCAAGGTTCCGCACAGTTGGAGTGCGCATCCGAGTAGTTTGATGCTGTCAGCACATATGGTAAGAAGGCGCTGATAGAAGCCAAGCAGGAGAGCCTCTTTCCTGTTAATGTTTAAATGTAGAAAGTTAGAACTCATCCAGGACTTAATGTCCAACAACCAATCGGTCAGGACAGCAGTGCTACCTCCACCCAGTGTTAAGGGTGGAGGCAGAGAGATAGCGTTGGTCACATTCCAAATACATGTCGTAGTTAACCCCATGTTTGTAGATAACATTTCCGAGGGGGATCATGTAGGCACTGTATTAAAAAGGAGAGGAACAAGAATAGAGCCATGAGGAACATTGCAAGTGACAATGTGAGAGCAGGAGAAGGAGCCATTTGAAGAAAAAAAGTAGAGATGTTAGGATAGGTAACAGCGAACCAGGTGACAATAGAACTGTAAAGGTAGAGCTGAGTGGAAAGGCGGTGGAGAAGGATAGTATGATTGACATTGTTAAAGCATCAAAGAGATCAAGAAGCAGAATCACAACACTAAACAATTTATTTATTGTTCCAATTTACCCAGGCAGCAATCTTTAAATCATGATATGCCTGGAAATCAAACTGGTGATGGTGTCCTCTTGTACGTTAAGTTTTAATCTCAAGATATTTTGTTCAAATCAAAAAATTCATAAATCAATGTTCAAAGTCTATTTGTGACTAAACTATCCATTTACTGTGTAGCCCAAGGAGCATTAACAAGGAGATTCTGTAGCTCTATGAAACTCAATGAAGCAGTAGAATAATGCCGTGTTCCACTGAGTGATAAAACAAAACTGTTTGAAATCCTCAGTTCACCACATTGTACAGGCTTGGCATCACTAGTGATACAAGCAAAAGGCAGCTAGGGGAGGTCAACACTCCTACCCACCCAATCACTTAAGGATTAGTATGTGAAGATCTGAAATGGGGGAAGGGAGAAATAACACAATCTACAAAAATTAGGGAAAATTTACAATACTCACACTACCCAAATTTAGGTCATCTATAAATATTCTAGCTTCTTCCCCATGACTGTCATCAGTACTCTGAACAAACAGATTTTCCAACTTCACCTCAGCTGAGCAAATAATCCGTACCTTTAAGCGAAAAGAAAAAAATTGGTTTATTTTACAATTCAAATAACCAACAAATGTTTGTCCCGTTTCCATTAGGATTTTAAGAGGTTTGAAAGAAATTTGATAAGCATTGCATTACATCGAGTATCACTTGCCATAATTAGTGTTTGCACTAATCAAGAATTCGCAGTGAAATGTTAGTAAAACAATTTTTTTATTGGAAATTTCTTTAAATACTTTCTTCTCTTCTACTACTTGTATATAGGTATATATACTACTTGTGTAGAGATTCACAGGCACCACCGGCCTTCCAATCCCTCACACAAGTGATCATTCATGGATGAGACTGGACACCAAGTACTGTACTGACTTTGTGACCATGGGGCTATAATCCTATATGTGATACAGCTCCTTCCACATTGGAAGGAAGTCCCAAAGCGCTTTACAGTATATGTTGTAAAGTGTAATGATTGTGTATTTTATAGGCAAGCACTTATAGGTAGGTGATGTAAAAGTAATGCTTTTTGGGGCATCACAAATATGAGGAATTTGGATCAATGATACTGAAAAGTTCATTAAGAAGCCCTCCTCTCTGGCTGATCAAATTGCATACATTTGATAATCAAATAGTTCGCAATGTATAACAACTATGTAAAAATATGCCAGAAAGAAGAATATCACATCATTAGCACTTCGGCAAAAAATATTATATAGAAAAACTGCCAGATATCTTTACCACATCACCATTTCTCCACCGGAACCTCTACTCCTTCATACATACTCATAGGACCGAAGGAGAAGAATCAGCAAGTAAATAACTGGGCTACCTTAGTACAGTGCTGGGTAGAAATTCCACTTGGATCTAGTTTTCACTCCATTTTCTACAGAAAATAGCTTAGTTAGCACAGAACCCAACAATTTGCCAAAAATCTGGATACACTAAAACATAGAAAATATAGAAAAGCTAGTCCCTGATGGAATTTCTTCCCCGGAAGTGATCACTTAAGAAGGACAGGATCGGGAGTAGGTTGAGGAATAAGATATAATACAAGCAATTTACATTTATATAGCAGTTTCACAACAGGAGGATGCCTCAAACCTCTTTACATTAGTGCTGGGCACTCGAGCCGGGGGAGGGGAAGGGGTAAGTGCTAAAGAGGGTGAGGAAGGGAAAGATGAGCTAAATTGAGGTCAAAAAGGTAAGTCTTGAGGCAGGCTTTGAAAGTAGGGAGGGGCGATGCATAATGCATAGCATGAATGCTTTTTTTTGTATCGGTAGAACATGGAAGAGAAAAAACATTTTAAAAATGGAGAAAAAGACAACTGTTTAAGGAAATATTTTACTGTAAATAAATGTTATACATGATTTCTGCAACAAATATCTTTTGAACTATAATATTAAAAGGGGCATTTAAAATAAATCAAACCTTGTGATCATAGTAGGTGTCGATAAGGGTGATAAACCGTCGAGCTTGTGTCTTCTTTGCCAAATTCAGCATCGGTATGTTACGGATAAAAACTGTATCAAAATGTTTAGCCATCTCCAGATAGTCACTTGCTCCAAGAGGCTGAAATAAGAAAGTAAATTTATTTTATGATACAATCAAGGTCTGTACAGGGAATATGTTACAAAGGCATTCTCTATCAACAAGCTAAACTATCCTGCAGTAACTGAATCAGTGGAACCTAGTTTCCAAAATATTAACACATTGAATGGATTTCATTTATTTGCTTCGTTTTACAGATTGAGCTTAATATTCTGCCTTTCTTCTACTGTTTGGGGTTTGGTGGTTGGGGGGGGGTTGTATGTGTGCAGTCGGCCAGGATGGAATTGTGAAGAAATAGGGATGGTTGACTATTTTGGTGTTTTGGACAACAGGCAGAACTTTCCCTCAGGAAATTGAAGTTGTTAAGATGTAGCTCAGGATTTGGAAGACTGTGCATCTGTAGAAGGAGAATGGTCTATCCTCGTTTCATACTTTAAAGCTCTTATTCTTGCTGGGGAAAAAAAGCATTAGGATAAACTAGGTGAGAAGTTATACAGAACAGAAATATCATACTATTACTATTAATAATACTTGCATTTGAAATAGCGCCTTATGTCATCAAGATATATCAAAGGATTCACAGGATTAACCGTAAAGTACCGCTCTTTTGTATTTGTAGGTAATTCCTGCAACCAATATATGCATAACAATGTCCCACAAAAAGCGATGAAATGAATGACCAATTTTATCTGGGGATTGTTGGCCAGGACCCCATGACAAACTCCCTTCTCTTTTTAAAAAGTGCCTTGTGATTTTTAACATTCACCTGAACAGGCAGACAGGACATCGATTTATCAGTTGAGTACCTGTGACAATGCAGCATTACCCCAGAACTGCATTGGAATATCAAACTAGTCTATGAGTTCAAAATCCCGATATAACGCTTGAAGCCATTAAAATAAACGTATCCAAAATGTTGAAGGTGATACCAAACTTATTTAAGGTTGAGACAATTATAAGAATTTATACTGCGCCATGGGTTTTCTATGACTTTTTCATTTCAATGTTTTCTCAATAGAAATTCAGAAAAGTACTGATAATAAGAAAAGCATGGCATATGCTGTGGATTAATTGCCCTCACTGACTTTAATTGACAACAATAATAACATCCCTAGAATAATCCTTGCATTTGGCACAATGCCTTTCACAATAGGAGAATGTCTCAAAACACTTCACAACACATGCAAAGTGACTGTGTATTCATAGGCAAATATGGTAACAGCAATTCATAGGCAAATATGGCACAGCAATGTCCCACAAACGAATGAACAATTTTATTTGGGAAATTGTTGGCCAGGTAAAACTCCCTTCTCTTTTTGAATAGTGCCATGGGATCTTTAACGTCCACCTGAAAAGACAGATGAGATCTCAGTTTAATGTCTCATCTGAAGGACGACACCTCTAACAACGCAGCATTCCCCAGAACAGAACTGGAATGTCAGCCTATTCTGATACAATTTATGGGAGATGGCGGAATGCTTCCATCCTCAATTGCATATAATGCACCTTCTACATACATTACAGATTCCTGAGTTGATTAGACTCAATTTGGGATTATTAAACAATTTTTTTTTGTGAAAATTCTGTTATTTCTGAACCCCATTGTTCTTTGATCACCACTAAATCTTTTCTCTTTTACCAAAGTAAATTATTTGCCTCAATACCAAATTAACTAAACAGGAAAACTGTTTTATGTGATACAAACTACCATGTGATATAAATTTCTGTTTCCTCACATGCATCTTTAATATACTATCTATACAATTACTTTATCTGTACGACTATGTCACCAAGACCCATTCTAACACAAGATGAAATGTACATCGTATGTGAAATGTGGCTAACTAAGATTGATTTTTATTTTTAAAAAATGTTAATATCTTTAAACTTTGAGTTCAGCTTGAACCATTCCAGAAAAGGAGCCAACACATGTTTACAAAATAATGAACATGGAGAAAAAAAAGACAAAGTCAGAAGTACTGTTCTCACTCTGACTAAAAGCTCACTTTCTTTACAAGATGTCAAAGCAGAAAAATGGAGTGCAATAGCTCCAGCTCATCATCAGACCACTTCAGTTTGTATGTCAGAGTTGTTTACATCATTTTTATGCTTCTACCTTGGCTGCTTTCTTGCAGAAATGGTCTAAAAATGGAAGGAATTAATGCATGCTCCATCATCACGATCTGAAGTATTATTTTATTACCCTAAACAGATTCCGCCATATTCAAGATGAATCTGGGTCTTTGTCTGCCTGCATTAGATATTCTCGGTACACAGCTCCTGGAGGCTCTTAAGGAAGAGGAATATACAACACTGTGACTTTGTAGGTGCATTTAGATCAATGACATTATCTCTGAGAATTCTTATTCATTATTTTGACAAAATGCACTAGCTCGGATGGATATCTTCAAAAACAATAATAGTGACAGGGTCACAGTGCCAAAAAAACAGAAATGCCTCTGATGGTTTTCACTTTCTAAAATAAGTCTAATGGTTACAAGGGCCTTTTTAATTCACAATTTAGTTATAGCAGAATGCATGTAAGCAAGCAATTTCCAAAAGAATAAATGTACTGAGATTTTTTGAAAACAGCTAATTAATAATAAAATAATTCAGTCCCTTCTTTGAGCTCCCTGAAGCCTTTTACCATTTCCCATCTGCAGAGGCTTTTAGAATCATAGAATTTTCAGCAAACAAAGAGGCCATTCAGTCCGTCGTGTTCGAGGCTCTTAATGATGATCTGAAATGCACTGACGGGAAGTGCTTGAGAACAGGTCAGGGTTGATGAGCCTTCTGATTTTTGTTCATCTTCTGTAAGGAAGTATACCATTGTTGATACTAGAAATTTGCCCTAAGGCAAAGTAGTAGTCATGCACATGTGTGCACATGGGCACACATGTGCATGACTACTCTGCAGTGTGTGCATTAAGACTAAAATTATTAAATAGTATTAGATTTGCAGTTAAGAGAGTCTCATCACTTCAAAGAGCTTGATGCAATCAGTTACTCTGGAACTTTTTTATAGCAACTTATCATGTATACATCAGAAAGAAGTACATTCTGGAGTAAGGGAACAGCTATGAGACACATTACCAATTAATCTGGAAGTTTGTTGGCCAAGATATTAGGAGAAACTCCTCTCTTTCAATTGGGCCATGTGATCTTTAAGGTCCACTTGAAGAAGACAAATGGGACCTCAGTTTACCATCTCATCTGAATGATGGTACTCCGATAATGCAAGTGCTCCTCCAGAACTGCAGCGGAGTGTCAGCCGAGACCACAAGCTTAAATCCCGATTTGAAACGTCAACCTTCTGATTAAGAGGCAAGAATATTAGTAACTGAGCCAAGTTTAACATTATTGGAGCATCATCACCCCTTGCCACCAATGCCTGTAAAGTTTAATTAAGCCATCATCCAGCTTGCCATGATGAGTGTGAACATTGGATTAATTTAAAACTTGGGTCTCTGTGTCTGAGAGACAAACTACAACTGTAATCTAGATCTAAAAGTTTGGTATCATTTAGCAGATTGTCACTAACTATCCAAATATCCTTAGTAACTGCAGAGCATGGAAAAACTGTGAGAAAATAGGTTGCAGCAAAGAGATACTTTGCAGAATCTTTCCATACAAAATTAGTAGTTACAATACAAATTTACATTTATATTGCGTTTTTTGCATAGGGAGGTTTGCATCTGAGCTGGGGATTGGAACTGGGGTGGGGGGGAGGTGGGGAATGGAACTGGGAGGGGAGGAGAATGCCCAAATTGTGGTGAAAGAGGAAGGTCTTAAAGCAGATCTTGAAGGAAGTGAGGGGCAAGTGAGTCAAAGGGACTCTGGGATGGTGTTTCAGAGGATCGAAGCAGATACGCTGAAACTCCAAACTGCTAATGGTGGGTTGGGGGGTGCGAAGTACGTGAAGGAGGCTGGTGCCCGCAGAGCAGAGAGAGCGGTTGGTTTGTATGATTTGAGAAGGCCACAGGGGTACTGTTAAACAAGACCATGGAGGGATTTCAAGGTGAAGATGAGGGGGTTAAGGAGCCAGTGGAATTAGGCAAGGATAGGAGTGATAGGCTTGCAGAGCCTAGTATGGGAAAGGACACAAGCTGCAGAGTTCTAAATAGTCTATAACCTGTGAAGGGAAGAGGCGGGTAGTCCAGCAAGCAGAGAGTCCAGGATAGAGTAGATTGTAAATTGATGGTGGAAGAAACTCGCCTGATGAACAAATCAGCAAAGGCAAATTATGAAAATAGCGTAGACCGTGTTACTGGTTGTCTCGAACTAAAGGCTGCATAGGGATGAAAGGAAAAATATTTAACATTTATTTAATTTTCCATTGTTGCTAAATTTCATAGTCTTCACCATGTGTTAGTCCATTTATACAGAGTCAGTTCTATTTCTTTTCATCCTTAGTAAATATGGTACAACTCTCTTTCTCTCACCCTGCTGCTTTAAAATAGAAACAATGAAAGAGTTATGACAACTAAGTAGTTTCCACTTGAGATGCTGGGATTATTTTACCTTATGGATGGGAAGTGAGACATATGATAAACATGTAGGAAAGCAAGGCTAGCATATCCTGTCGATGTTCAAGACTTGACTGTACTCACTTTTTCAAACAGCTCTTCAAATGTGCAGTCTGCTATGGTTCCACAGGCTTTACTCAGTCTCAGCTCTCTGCCATGCACTTTCAAAATCCTTGGTCTTGTTACTATGGAAACATGAACAAAGACTCAGTCTTGTCTGGATAATTACTATAAAATTCATCTCTTATAGCTGGGAAATGCATGGCTTGATGAATAATAGCACATGATTCAACATAGAAAATTAGACAAAATACTGATACAATGACAACCACTTGTGTGTGGCATCAATCCATATACAGCAATGGAACTTACTAATTGGTCAGTGGAGATTGGCCATTGTGTTCTAAATGTATTCTCTTTCAAGAGAAATTAACTTACGTACTATCATTTTGTTTCTGAGCCAGCTCATCAAATAGCTTATCCAGGACAGCCTCCACATCAGCTTCACTTGTGCTACAGTGAAAAGAATAATGGAATATAAAATTAATAACACTTGAAGCCAACATCAAACAGCTGCCCAGGCTCGCTTAGCTTTTTGCCCATCAAAAAAGAACAGGATGTTATGCTCTAAATACAAACATTACATTTATAGTACACTTTAAAGCAGAGAATATTAACTCTCAGGTAGATGATTCTACCTTATTTGCATACACTGAAAGACTTCTGTGATTGAAACCTAAGCCAGTAATGAGGCAATACAGGCGAACCAAATCCATTAATGCTATGTGTATACAATGAGAAGAAAGGACTATGGCTTTCCCTTGAATGCAAAACAAGAGCAAGAGAACAGATCAGTCGCTCTTCTGAAGAAACATCTTTTGAAAAACATACTGCAATAGTACATTATTCAAACTAAATATGGCTAAGTAGCTTGTTATAAAAGTCAAATTAAAGCAGTGTGTTGAGAGAGCATGATACTATTAAGCTTATAAAATATTATTATGAGTTGATGCATACAGAATTTCAGATAAGAAATCAAGTACGAATACGAGAGTTCTCCAGAGTCACATTACTGTATTTACAAAACAGTGCAAAACAAAATAATTTTCAAAAATTAATGCTGAAACATTTCTTGAACTGAACATGCAGTACTTCATTCTCAGTGAGTGCAAATTTGATTAGATCATGTAAAATGAACAAAACAGAAACAAAGAATTTTAAGTGGACAAAAGTTCTTTTTTTTAATTGATACATTTTGTCATCTTTCAATTCCCTCCACAGCACATTACAACTTGGCTAATGTCTCAGTTTTATAGCACAAGAGGAAGTCTCGAGAATACATTGCCAAAACAGAAGTGAGAACCTCCAACAAGCTACATTATTAAAAAAAGATACAGAGGGGATTTTTTTTCTGTAATGAATCATTACTCTTCATATTCATTGGACAACAATAGTCTACTCTCAGGAAATCAATTGTGGAACAAAATTCCTTCTCAAAGTTCAACTCCACATTATCTTGAATGCTTCAGTGTTGTTTATACGCAGATGAGGGTGGGTGGGGTGGGGGGGAACCTGCACTTGAGATAACTTAAACAGGACAATGCTGGAACCAAATGATGGGAAATGGGCTGCTGGGTGGAATATTTAACTCTTTCAGGTGCTACTGTTCTCACACTTCGCACTCTTTAAGATTAGGAATTCTCTCCTGTATACAACAAATATTGAGATGTGCTATAGGTAGCAATACATAGAGGTTACAAATTCATTATCTGCTCACTTGTTACTTCAATCATTTAAGTCATTTATTCTTGATACACTACAATCTTGAAACAGTTTCATTTTTCTTCACCTCTGCCACTTAACCTGCCTTGGCCCAATTCCGCACCAAATGTCGCTGATACTCTTATCCACTCCTTCATTACCTCCCAGCCAGACCTTCTAAATGCATTTCTCGCTGGTCTAGCTAGCTCCACCAGGGATAACATCCAACTTATCCTCACCCACACCAAATTCCACACAACCATCACCCCAGTCCTTGCCAAACTCCTCTGTCTCCCCAACTCCCCATGGACCAATTTCAAGGTCCTTATCCTCATTTATAACTCCCTGGACACCCTAGCACCATCTCGCTGATCTCCTTCTATCCACTCCCGTCATCCCCTCCGCACAGTTAACTCAAGCTTGTTGCATGTCCCCACCCTCTCATGAGCGAGAGCTTTCAGATTCTATGTCCCTAACCTCTCAAACTCCCTTCCTCTCTATCCGTCTTCATGTCCCAGCTTGACCGCACCCTGTTCCTTCCTTTGCTGGGCACTCAAAGACATTATCCTGCATGAAGAGTGCCATATAATGCAAGTAGTAATTGTTGTTGTATAGGACATGCAAAATACATAAGGTTAGGTCACAATAGCATAGTAGTCAACCGATGAGTAGGAAGTGATTGGACAGTAGAATTGCATGAGAGGAGATTGCTCTTCACTCCATTTAATATACTACAGCAGTACAATGACAAACGGTTTATATGCTGGAATACTGTACACCTTTGCATCATATTTTGGATTTGTAGAACCCTCGATAGCTTTTCTTTATTGTAAATATACCACTAAAACAACAACAGATTGTATTTATACAGTGCCTTTCATGTCGGGAGGACATCCCAAGGCGCTGTCTGTCTGATACCATTATTGTAAAGTACTCAAAGACATTATCCTAAATGAGGAGTGCCATATAATGCAAGTAGTAACTGTAAAAAATCATTTTAAAACAAGTATTTTTCTATACATTTTATATATAATATAGATAATAGGTTTTTCACAATACATGTATTTCATGCCTGGATTTGAAAAGGAAAAGTAGGGAACAATAGTGCAACTTGAGTTGTAACAGCAGAACAAAACAAGGGATTTTTTTTCTTTTGAACCAAGAGTTCCCAGCCAGCACAGTGTCCAGATAAAAAACACTTCACAAATATTACTTTCAACCCATCATCAATGTCATCCAGACACAAAAGCACACTTGCAGCTTTGTGAAGCAAACCTGCCTTGTTGAACTCTGCTGCTGTTGGGTTCAGACACAGATTTAACTTAGGATTGTAATGAATCCAGTTTGTTTCAGCTTCCAAGCTTCAAAGTTGCAAGTGCTTATACCATCATGCCTGGAGGAAGGAGAATCAGGGCTAGAGAAGTATAATAAACATTTTTTGAACTTGATAAAGTGCCATCCATGTCGGGAAGACATCTCAAAGCACTTCACAGGATGAACTGTAAAGTGTATTGACTGTATTTGTAGGCAAATAACCAGGCTTACTACGTAAAAATTAAGCACTTACCAAAGTTACAGACATTTTGATGTTGCTCCAACATTAACAATCTTTGGTATAAACACAGAAGTTGCTGGGAACACCAGCAGGTTAAGCAGCATCCATGGAGAGAGAAAAATTAGTTAACGTTTCAGATCTATCACTTTTTGGCAGAACAAAAGGTCATAGACCTGAAACGTTAACGGATGCTTCTCTCTCCATGGATGCTGCCTGACCTGCTGCGTATTTCCAGCGACTTCTTTGTTTATACCAGATTTCCAGTACCTGCAGTACTTTTCTTTATTAACATTCTTTGATTTACTAATGAATAAAGAGCCAATTACTTTTGATAATAGATTGAGGCTTATGTGGCTGTATAACTTCGTTATGTGAAGCAGTTTGAGACACCATACTAAATCCAAGTATTATTTATTTTATTGTTGAGAATGAAATTTATTTTTTAAAAATATCATAATAATCTATTGTCAAATAGGACATGCATGAGAATAGGCCTATCTTAAATCCCTTTGGTGCTTCTTTCTTCCCCATGAAAAGTGCTTTGCCTGCTCTTTGTCCCTCTCCAACACAGCATGGACAATAAAACAAAATTTAGTGTATGGAATATCATTGGCAGAAATCTATATTCTATTACAAGGTGTTGCACCATTGTGCCACCTTCTTCTACCTCTGTTTTTACACTCATTTCTCTTCTCCAATAGCAATGTCTCTCAGTGCCCTTCCACAGTCATGGTGCAAGTAGGTCACTTCCCCCCTCTTAGCCCTCCCTGATTCTGTTCTTCATTCAGCCACTTGGAGATGTGCAAAAGTGTCCAGTAGAAAGCATGCCTGATTTCTGGTATAGAAGTTTACAGTTGTTTGTGATATGATTTTCTAAAAAAAATCTTGCAAAAACATGGTTAAATACAACTGGGAATGCACTGATCAATTATATTTAGAAGTTACTATTAGAATTTGCATCCAAAGAGTCCAAAAGATTGAGCGCTGATATATTCTTGTTTTGACAAGAGTTTATTCATTTAATTCATGTCTGACGACAATGCAAAATTAACCTCAATGTCACATAATAGTCTCAGAATAAAAAAGAACACACATACTAATGCTAAACACTCCTGCGTTATCTTTTTATAGCATGATCATTCCCAGCCTTACCAGAAAAATAAATTGTGATGCTTAGTTACGGGTAATGGTCCTGAATTTAGCTCAGGTTTCCTTAAGCAAACAGGACTAGGAAGAGATTCAATAGATACACCAGGGATAAAATACTTTATTTTTATTGAGGAACTAGAGAAACTGGGGCTGTTTTCACTAGAACACAGAAGGTTCAGTGGAAACCTAATAGAGGTGTTGAAAATGTGAGGATTCTTGATATGGTCACTATTTCCCTGGTCAGTAAGGCAATTAAAAAGACATAAATTTAAGATCATTATTGAATGATACAAATGGAGAGGTTAGATTTTTTTTCAAATACACCACACACAAATGGAAAACCCTACCAAAGGCAATGGTTGAAGTAGAATCCACAAAAGCTTTTAAAGGCAAATTAGATAAATAATTGAAAAGGAAAATATAAAAGACAGAGAAGTGGAACTAAATGGATAGCTCTTTCAGATAGCCGACAGGGACACACTGAACTAAATGGCCTTCTTTATTTCTCTAAAATTCTATGATTCTATTCTATAAAGATCTTGATAGCTGCATCGTGTACGAAGGACATACAAGGAGACATTGGTAATAAATATCCAAGAAGAATCAGTGTAAAGCAGATATCAACTTTTCAATTTTTAAATTAAAAAAATCTATGGCCAGTCAGAATAACAATTGAGTAGGAAGGTTTTTATCAAATTTTTATCTTCACAAAACCCAAGCAATTATAGACTTTAGTCAGATATAAAATGTCTCCAATTGAAACACTATTGATACATATTAGAAGAGTTATTAAATTTGGTACACCCTTACATACTATACCCATTTTCTGCAGTGTACCAAAATAAATTTTTGCTTATTTAATATATAAATTTTAATATAAATAACAAGCATTTTTAGTTAAAAGCTGCAATTTTTGCTTTCGGATTATTTCTCTAAATGCAGAAAATGTTCTTTTGGATTCACTAAATCCAACTTTCCGGTTTCCACCTTTGGATATATTATGTTTAAAGATTGTTGCGCTGCTGGAGTTTGCTGTGCTGTTCTACATTGTGCCGACATTCTGCAGTGCTCTCCTGTGTTGTGCCTTAACCTTGTCAACCATCCTCTTTTAGAGTTGGCCATTGGACAGCGGGTTCCAACACAGAGGACTAAAGAAATCAGCTACGTATAAAGAAACCTCTTAAAATCAGTTACTGTATTTGAAAATCATTCACATTTTCTACTTTTTAATCACTGTGACGATCTATAGGGCTCCCACTGAGTATTCTTAAAGAAACAGACAATACCAACAATTCAAATTCATCATTAACAATTCTGATCATGGAGATGGCTCTGTCACACATTGACTGTAACTTACAAGAGGACATTTACACTGATAGACGGGGGGGGGGAAAAAAACTTCAATTGTAAAATAATTTGGGGACAAAATTATTTAGCATTCCCCTTGTAATGCAGAAAACATGCACAACAGGTGAAAGAGTCTGTCTTACACCCTTAAAAGAAGAAAATGTCTAATAGAGTTCATCTGGTTATAAAGATCTTGTAATTATTTTACTTCCATCACAAATGCTCATAATGGTGAATGTAACGAAGAGCATAGATTTGTAAACCACTTTGTTCATCAGATGCTAGGGATCCAAAAAATGTAATAAAATCACAATTCATTTATGATTAAGTAATAGCTGAGAAAAAAATCAATTTGTGATGGATTATATCCTTTCCTGCCCTTCCCCAGAGTCCTGTAGCTCAGTGGTTAGAGCACTCGCCTCGCAGGTGAGAGCACCCGGGTTCAATTCCCAGGCGGGCGAAACCTTATATCAAATGTAAGGATTGTTATCAGATTACAATTAAGGATTAAGATCATTTTCTTGGAGCAAGATCTTTGTGTCATGGAACTTGGTTTTATGCAGTACTTTGTGTCTCATTTCTCTTTGAAGTGGGTGTCAAAATGGGTCAGTTTTTGTGCAGATTTACAAATTTGGTCACTAATACTATTAATCCTTGCATTTGATATAGTGCCTGTAATGCTGAAATGTCTCAAAGCAATTTGTATAGTGGCTGTGTATTTGTAAGTGAATATAGAATCCAATTTGTGCACATCAATATACCTCAAACAGCTATGAAGGTGAATGACCAATTCATTGGATGATGGTTAGTCAGGATGCCAAGAGAAATGGTGTCATGGGACTTTAACATCCACCTGAACAGGAAGACAGGCTCTCAATTTAATATCTCATCCAAAGGACAGTACCTCTAACACTTCTTTAATACTCCAAGCATTTGTCTCGGCTGATACCCCAATGAATACATAATCTTCTGACCCAGAGACTAGAGTGCTACCAACCGAGGCAAACTGGCACTACTATGCTGATAACAACCATGAGAATTATGAATAGTTTTACTACCTGATATCAAAAATGTGGAGTTCTATAGCTCAGTGGTTACAGCACTCGCCTGGCAAGCGAGACACCTGGGTTCAATTCCAGGCAGGTCACGGCGAAACCTTGGGCAAGTTCCTTACTCCACACGCCTAATAATAATCCCTCCCAAGACAAAACAATAATAAATTGCTCATTTTCAATCCACAACTGTTTGTGGGACACTGCTGTGCGCAATTGGCTGCCGTGTTTCGCCCACAAATATACAGTCAATTCACTTTACAGCAAATTCTGTGAAGCGCTTTGAGATGTCGAGAAGACGTGAAAAGCGCTATATCAAATGCAAGGATTATTATTATATTATTATAAAATATAGATTGCCAGTTTTCCACAACAAGAACTTTTGAACATTTTAAACTTACAGATAATAAAGTTTTTCTGTTCTAGCAAGGGATCTTTTCCGGTAGTCAATCCCAGAATCCAGCCTGACGGTGTCACAATACATCTGCAGAAAAAAAAATATTGCAAAGTAGTGAAAGGTTATTTAAATCATTTATTTGCATCTGGACATCCATGACCCGAGAAAAGGTTCACTCTTTGTGCTCCGTTTAAGTCTCATTTTTAATATTATTCTCTACTTTTGACCTTTTGTGGGGTTTTTAAGCCCTGTAAACTAGTCAACACAAAAAAAATGAAGATTTGAAATGGAGTATGAGTCATTTCTTGTTAGTGTTGCATCACAGCAAAACTCCATAAAGCATTAGGCTAGTGCAGATATTCTTGAACAAGAATGTCAGCCACGTTGTGAGAACTTAGTCTAGAGTGAGCAAAGGGTCGTTTAAAGAACCCTTGTGCTCTTTAAACATAATGTCCTGGATGAGAGCTAACTTTCTTCAGTTGAACGTCAACAAGACCAAGGCTCTCCTGATTGGCTCCAGTCAGCGCCTCCACACCTCAGGCGCTGACAGCATCAGCATCCACAGTCCCATACTGCACCTCACTGAGTTAGTCCAGAACCTTGGCGTCTTGTTTGACCCTCAACTATCCTTTCTACCCCACATCCATACCATGACCCGCTCTGCCTTCCTCCACCTACACAACATCGCCCGGCTCTGCCACCGTCTCACACCACAGGCCGCCGAAACCCTCATATGTGTTTTCATAACTTCGAGGCTCGACAATGCAAACTCATCGCTTGTCGGCCTCCCCAACTCCTCCCTCCATGGGCTGCAGATCATCCAGAACTCTGCAGCCATGCTCTCCTGAGAGCCATGCTCTCCTGAGAGCCATGCTCTCCTGAGAGCCATGCTCTCCTGAGAGCCATGCTCTCCTGAGAGCCATGCTCTCCTGAGAGCCATGCTCTCCTGAGAGCCATGCTCTCCTGAGAGCCATGCTCTCCTGAGAGCCATGCTCTCCTGAGAGCCATGCTCTCCTGAGAGCCATGCTCTCAGGATTTGATGCTATTTGAAGTTCACCTTCCTTGGAAATGTACTATCTGATGAGTTAAGGATCGATAAGGAAATGATAGCTCCTTAATGAAAGCAAGTGAGGCCTTTAGTAGACTGCTCAAGCATGTTTGGAATCAGCACGGTATCAAGGTTGCCGCAAAATTGAAGACTAAGGTGGTTGTCCTTACCAATCTCCTGTATGTATATGAAGTTTGGATGCTCTATAGAAAGCACGCTCAACAGCTGGAAAGGTTCAAACAAAGACGCCTTCACATCTTATTTCCTATTAGGTAGCAGGACAAAATCGCTAACATCAAATTACTGGAACATACTGACAGAACCATCATTGAGGCTATGATCATCAATGCTCAACCCCGTTGGGCTGGACAACCTGTTATGATGGATGACATCCAGTTGCCAAAGCAGGCGCTTTATGGAGAACTGGTGAGTGGCAGAAGAAACCTGGGCAGACAGAAAAGGCGCTAAAATGACACACTGAAGATACATCTGAAACAGTGCAACATGGTTGATGACTTGTGGGAAACCCTGACAGACAGCAATAGCATGCTGAAGTGAAAAAAAGAGCGAAGGGCTTTGAGGAACAGCGCAGGATCAGGGTGGAGGAAAGACATGAGAGATGAAAGCATTGACAAAGTCTAAGGAACCTCCAGGAGAACCCCCCAGGAATGTGGCTATGTATAGCTTGTGGTAGATAATGCCACATATTGGCCTGCATAATCATCAACGTATCCATCTACCATGAGCTTACGCTCCCTTCACTGTTGGCACTATCATCCTCAAGTACAAGGGATATACTATACTGCATGTTTAGTTTTGTATGTTCTGAAGGTACTGGACTGCCTTCTGAAGGTTGCAATGGTGAAGGTGATTGTTGGCAGAGGGGGTGAGATAGGGAAGTGGATTCTGGGGCTTTCGTAAGCACTCACCACAGGACTAGGGTTTAATTAAAGCTCTCATGTTTTCATTTTTAAAAAAAGTAAAAAAATTATGGAATGAATAAAACAAATTTGTAGTTGTATTAGCTTCTATCCCCACTTTTCAAAAACATAACAATTAGCTCAAGTGACTAAAACTGTATTGTAAGCAAAGTTGACTCCTGTTGGATTTATTCAATCTGGTAAGAAAACCAAGCCCTCATTCGAACTTCTCAGTGTGATATCTGCTTTTCACTGAAACCCTAAAAAACTGAATCTGTAATCTTCAGCAAAAATGGGAAAACTTAAAAAAACTGACTTTGTAATGTTCAGCAAAATCTTTTGGTGGTGAGAGGTTGGAGATTTCACTTATATTCATCTGCCATACTTGTGATCACAGTGAAACTGAAGAGAAATGAAACCCTTAGAGAAATGGTTTGCTGTAATCAGAAATTTAGTGCCATTGAAATGAATGATGGGAAATTAGTACATGAAGCAAATTCACTCTTATAAAGAACATAGCTTGATTAGAATTGCTGTTAAGTGGAGTCATATAATCATTATCAAATGCCAATAGTAAATTCAAAGGGGTGCATTTGAAGTTTGCTATTCCATTAGATTATGATTTTGTTAATATGAATTATATTCTAAAGCCATGTCCATTTTTTAAAAGGAACATAGCATCTCAAAAAAGGAGAGATTTCTTGCCAAATTTAATTTAAAATCATCTAGAAAATGCTTTTGATATTATTGAGGTGGTATATCATTGATCATGGGGCAACCTATGTAAACGATGCAAATCCAAACATGGCTATTTATAAAAGGAATCCAATGACTGGTAAAAGAGTCATTTATATTGCTTATTTTAAATTTTACATTTTTTTTCCTTTAAAAAGCTATTCATGTGACAAGCAATTGTTCATAGATGATGGATGGGCAGACATGGTCAATAATTCCCCAAATTTGAGTGACACAAAAGGACCAAGACCAGACCATATTTAAGGACTCATCTGGATTTGGTGTACTGCAGTATGACAGCTTATAAAAAGATACCATGATTTGATGCCTGCCTTTTATTTACTCTCACTCTCCCGCTCTCTGAATTTGGAAATAATTGTCCTGAATTACTTTTATTCATCCTGTCAGGGTTCTTGACAGGCATTATAGTCATTTTCAATGATGCAATCTTTCATCTCCGATGTATCTTTGCAACCTATTGAGACTTTAGATCATGGAAGTCGCTGTGCTGGAAAAGGACAAAAGGTTAGGCATACGTGCAAAAGCAATGAAGAGAATTAATCTGAAGTTTGCATGACATGAATGAGGAACTTTCTGGTGATGGTATGAGCAATACAAAGCAGGTTCTATAAACCTCCAGCACATATCTAGGAACCTTTGCACTGTGCTAATCACTTACAGTTTTTCAGGTACTTTTATTAAATGCAACTCTTGTACTCCTTCAAAACACTAAAAAATATTTTTTCCTAGTATGACACACAGCAGTTCATAAAAGGTGACCAGGTCTGTGAAATTTCATGTTCACTTCAACTTATACGGGTCCGTTACTCAAACGCCATGCCCGTGTTTTCAACAAAGATCCGATCTGTCACAGTGAACAGATTGCATAAAGGTAAGGATATCAAAGTATAGCAACAAAGGTATAAAAAGTACAGGGAATTACAACTTCAACTAAAGAATCCGTTTGACTAACGTTGAAAGTTTATTTGCAACCATATTTTGTGTGTAGCACTCAGTCCTTAGCTAATTCCAGCTCTACAACAAATAATAATAATCCTTGCATTTGAAATAGCGCATTTCATGTCAGGAAGACATTTCACAAGTGCTTCACAGGATATACTGTAAAGTGCCGTGATTGTTTATTTTGTAGGCAAACGTGACACCCGATTTGCACACAGCCCACAAACAGCTATGAAGTAAATAACTGATTTTTATCTGGGAAATTGATGGCCAGATCATCAGGAGAAACTCCCTTTTCTTTTCAAATAAAGTTATTTGATCATTGTGTCGTTAATGTCCACACTGCTATTGTTGTATCTTTAATGTCCACCCAAACTGGCAGACTGTACTTCAGTTTAACATCTCATTTGAAGTATGGCATCTCCAATAATGTAGTACATCTCCATCACTGCATTGGAGTGTCATTCTCGACGATATGTGTCCAATATGTGACTTTATCATTAAATCTGATGGCTGACACTTTAAGGGTTAAACTTTGCAGCTGATCATAGTCAACGACATTCAGCAGCAATGCTTCTGACCAGAAATGATTAGCAATGCTAGCTGACATAATGATGCAACAAGTTACATTCTTCAACAGTATCAACCCTTGTCCTAATCAGTCTTTAAAATTTAGGCTAAGAACTGATTTCCTGAATCATTCATAATTGCAAGGTGAAGTGGTTAAAATGCTGCAGAATAAATGAAGATTGCCAAGTCAACTACTGGAACCCCGCATGAGACATGAATACATATAATCCCATTCAACTGAGGCAATGCAATGCTTTGTCAGCACCCCAGGTTTCTCTTTGTTTTGGGATGAGAAAATCCCCCACTGACCCGGTTACACATAAAGCACCATTTCAGCAAGCTATAATATGATGATGAGCATTGAGGTGAATTGCTTTAATAAAGCAGGCTGTTGGGATTATATTATATACACATGGTAGATACACACTGTAATAGGGTTTCTCAAGTAAATCAATTAATAAATAAGATATTAAAATCTACAGAGAAATGCTGAACTATTCTTTTTAAAACAAACTAATTTTTGGCAGCTTTCTTCTTTTTATCTCCTGTTTTTAAACTAATTTATAATAGAGAAAGAATGTTCTGGGTGGCGTCTCTTCACAATACAGCTATGTAACACTTATTAAAGTGAAGATCTCAAATAGCTTCTGGCTGCATATTATTTCTTTCCATCTCCCTTTTCTCCCCAACCTTTTGGAATGGGCTCAATCTACTGGGATACAATTGCAGGGTTGAAGATTGCGCTTTGCTACAATGTCAAAGTTTCCATTTTTTATGCAAGAAGTCTAAGGTTGAAAAGTGCTTGAACAGGAAAACCACAGCATAAATGGCAGATGCAAACTGGAAAAAGTGCC